CTACGTACATTCACTCACCCTACTGTGGCTAGAGTAACGTTCTTACTATAATTTTGCTTCATTTTATTATGTAAGTCTATTATTATTATTGTTATTATTCCCATCATCTTTATTTTATTATCACTCTATTATTGTTTATTAATAACATTACATTTCTACACAGATTTTATCAAAACACTTTATTGTCTTTCCACTATTTCCTTTCCATTCTACACAATTATATTGATTGGTCATTTTCCCAAAATGTTTACGTCATCCCAACTCCTGCCCCCTTTTTCTAATCTCCAGTCAGTGACCGCTTGTAGATTACACCATACATTATGTAATACGTTTTCGAGAACAAGTTTACCAGTATCTGATTGATTGGTCTTATGAATTTTCGACTAAATATAATTATGATTGCACAGCAGCTTATGAAAATGAATCGTCGAAAAGAAAATTCTCCTCGCTGTTGACGTCTTTTTCTTATGACTGAATATAGGAACACTTCGTTCACTTGAAACAATTGTAACAGACTTTATGCTCGGATGACCGGGTATTAAAACTCTATGATAGCTTATTAGGTAAGCATTTTGTGTGATGAGAATAGTGTTAGGTATGAGACTACTGACTTACTGCAAGGAATTAAACAGGCGTCCCTCTTGATACTTTCAATCATTAGTAATATTTATTGTCAGTATTACAATCAACATTTAATTTTAGATTCATATTTTTATCGAGATTATTATTATCAATGTAATTACCTTGTTGATTAATTTTCTCACGTACGACGTCAATGTAAAGCGGGAATTAGATGCAACATGTTGTCCTACATACTGAAAATTCCACACATTTTATCAAACCTTCTTATATCGATCTTCAACTGAACAAATGAGCCTTTTTGTGTTGCAAGGTGGAATCAACCTAGCAGCGAAAAACGACTTCTCTTTTTTATTCTCGATTTCGGTATGCGATGTAGACGAAACAGTTACACACTCGCTCCAGGATGTCAGTTTCTCCGCTTTCATATTTCATTTAAAAACTTCCTATGATATTCATTTTCTATGAGATTCTTTCTAATAATCATGAATTCACCGTCAGTACAATTCCAGTGTGTTAAACAAAACGGTTTTACGAAAACACTATGCTTTCTAAGAATTCCACTGATGACAATAATCTATACGCTTCTATTTCGAAGGATTATTTAGACGATTTTATTCAGACGTTGTACCCGAGTACACCCAGTTCGTAGTAAACGGCGAATCCTGCTGACAAAAATATAGTAGGAAGTAATGAGTTTACCGATTGTATTTATTTGACGGAAAACCTGGAAAGTAACGTGTTGAACTTCGAGGACTGATAGTTTATGTCAGAATATATGGATGATATGTTGCATCCAAGGTGATGAAAGTACCAATCCTGAGAGCGACATCAAACACTTAACTTAATACACATCACAATCTGATGTTCACAATGAATTTCAGTTTTAGATCCTTCATTATATAAAGACTAGATGGTTCCCACTAAAAATCAATCCACACAGTATCTACTGCATGCAAAGGGGCAGTAAAGCATAGCCAGACTCCGTCAATTGATATAAGCATAAAACTTGGGCACTGTGGTAGAGCATAACTCCATTATGGATAAGATTTTATTTCGATAAATCACACAGTGTTGTACAGTAATATTAACTGATGACTTTTCGAGCATAAACTATTACTCATAATCATATCAAGTTGATATGATATGATTATGAGCAATAGTTTATGCTCGAAACGTCATCAGTTAATATTACTGTACAACACTGTGTGATTTATCGAAATAAAATCTTATCCATAATGGAGACTCCGTCAAGCAGAAAGAGAAGTGTAATTAGTTATTGTCGCGAATTAGAATTCGGTCAAGTCACAGTTTATGAGTAAAATACATATCCGCCAAAGTGGATTTGAATTAAACTTGGGAGTAAAGCATTAAAATAGGCTAATTCATAACAACCTCAAGACCTTATTATAGTAGATACCGACTTCTGAAACGATACTGTAACACGAACTCCAAAGAGTCAGATGCTCATATCTTCAGCGCTAAACTAGAAATCAGTTACTACAGTCTACAAACGACTTACAAATGTGTCAAAGATAAGCTATCACATTTCGAGCACAAGTTTATTCGTCCCCATGGTGCTAGTTATTAGAGGACACACATTAACTTATGTTAGCCCAAAAAGCACAGTTACTAAAAGAACATAAGTCGAATCTGACATTTGGTAAACAATGATCGAACCACCCTAAAGACTTTCTTTAATCAGAAGTGATCGTCTAGACACAAGCACTGTCATCTCCCATTTCAATTTTTACTTCTGTGTGTAAATGAAACGTATTCAATCCTTAGTACTACCTTGATATTGATTTACACCTGTGTATTCATTCTCTATATAACTGATCAGTCCACCTTTGCGTGATGGTCTTTGTTTCATTTCCAGCCTCAGGTTTACATTTGTCAAGTGGACTTGGATATATTCCAACCAATGTATAATAACCTCTTTTCACTTTGTCAATCTCCCTGTATTAGTGCTTATATAGTCTCATAGATTATTAATTAATTCGACTTATGTCGCGCTAGGTAAGTAGTGCATTAAGGATATATAAGTCCAACTTACTACAAAATAATATTTCATTACTTGTTTGTAAAAATCAATGACAAATGTAAAGCGGCAGAAAGTGACACCGTCAGCATTTTCCTTTGTCGTGACATCTTTTTTCTCAACAGATTGATAAGACAACTGCGCATTGTCAATTAACAGTAACATTAATCTGTCGCCTGAATCCGTAATAACGACTAAAATCGATGATGCTAAGAGAAATCACTTACTGCCCTACAAGGGTGGTGAATTGGATACAGTGAACAAAAGAAGTACGGGCTGCTGGACCACTAATGGGGTGAATCCGACACAACGTTATGAAAGACACACGATACAGCTCCAAAGAACGTCATATATCTCTCTTTAATAAGCCACCAAATATAGTTTAATATAGATATTGGGAAAAACAGTGCGACGATATGAACACCGCCGAAAATATAAGTGCTTCATTACGTTAACCAAACCAGTAGGTGGGTCTCATTATTCCCGCGTGCCTGAAGAGAACTATTTCCTCTATATAATCCTATGAAATATAAAGACAATTCTATAGAAGTCACTGTAATGAAATTAGACCTACACATAACGGAGATGCAGACCGAAACTTTCACTAGTCCACTGTTGTGACAGTAAGCTTCCCATGTTGCCCTGGCTTTTGTTACACAATAAATCTTATGTCGAAAGTCTGCCTGAACCCACATAAATTCCTAAATACACGAACATCCTGACTGCTTTCAAGAAATAGCCTTACTGGAATAGAAAACCACATCTCTTGCAACTTCTCTCAGTTATATATCTTAGCACTAAAATTGAGCTTCCATCTTATTCTGCCATTAATTGTTTTGAGGTGCCTGCGTGAGACATTAAACTGAAAACATGCTCGTAGCTGAGCCAATGAACGACCAATAACATTATTCACTTTTATCAACTCTTAGGACGCAAATTGGCATTTTAGACAGACGCTAAAAGGTATAACCTACCATCTCCGATTAGTTGGCTAACTCGACGTTTATGGCTTGTTATAATGCAGACAATGATGACTCCACAGCAAAAAGTAGATCTGTAAGGTGTGAGGACTTATCACTTAACCACCATAACCATAGTAGTGAATTCATTTCAGATTTTTTAGGATAAGAGAATTAAACTTACAACAAATCTCCAGTGAATATCAGTTTCATACTTAAGTACCACAAATTCCACCGGTGAACAGCCTTAAGAGGATAACCAAACATTGGAGATTACCTTATTGCTAATTGGAAGAAATGGAGAATTAGACAAGGCATATAAATTTCGCTCTTCATATATATCCCTGTAGTAAGCTTGTTTATTTCCTAGGTCCACAAGTCTGATGTTAAGGTCCCCAAAAACCATCAAGTCATTGAAATAAGAAAATGAGTTGTAACTGACTTTGATAGCACTTTCATCTGTAACCTCGTCAAGGAGAATAACCTACAGAAATAAGTCCCACACCCTGAAGGACCCAGTCCCGGACCTGTTGGTGATGGGGATTGGGCTCAAATGTACGCACAGCCCAGACCTACCACGCCCCAAGTCTTTGTACGGCATGGTTGCACAATCAAACAGAACGAGTATACTTAGCACCTAAGAACTACATGGTGTTATGGATATATCGATAAGTCCAAATGGGTGTGAACCTATGCGGGAAATACCATTTTGCTTGGCCGTTATTGTTTCTAGGTATCCCCTAAATTTCACCTATTTCTTGACTGAACCATATAGTAGCTGTAAACAAACCACTTATTTGCAAAACTATAGTGGTTAATTTACCCAAATAATTCTATTATAAGCAGAAATCACAGCATCCTATTATTCGTGTCTAACAGTATTTCGGTCAAATATTTAACACGCTGAGGCATAATAAGTTCCGTTGGTGATGTATGATGACAAGTATGTGCCAGGAAGGTTGATGAGAGGCGCAACTGCATCAATACTCAGAACTCGCTACTGCATAGATCAAGTGGCATTCATTAGTACCAGCTTAGGGGAACCTGCACACTTTCAAAATTATGTTAACCTTTGACTCCAAATGACACATATGGGGTTACGGGAAGCCAACTCAATTGGGACGGCTTTATATAGATACGTATAGGCCTTGAAACTATAGCAACACTCAGGAATCACGAAACCTGAGTACACGCCCAGGATTACATGACAGTCACAAATCGTTGTGGCATGTTGAATGAAAACGGAGTTTAGCTGCATCATTTACAGTATTATCTCCAAGTAGACCATGCCATCACCTGATTCATGCAGACTGATCCAAAGACTACGAATTCCCACTCCAGCTCTCCCGTTTACCTAACATATTGGCTCATCAGGAAGGAATGCAAGAGTACAACCAAAGCCAACTGAAGAACGAAACAAGTCTATAACAGATTTATTTCACTAGTATTAAAAGTGTCTATTTTATCATCTGCATGTTGACTCACGTCCACATCTGGACCAGCAATTTGGATATGGTAAACAAACCTAGGTACATACAGCGTGCTAATTCCTCAAAAGGCGTATAAAATTAAGAAAGCCATCATCAGGCAAAAAAGACCCATGGCCTCACTTAATGCAAAACCAAGGATGGCATAGGTGAACAGCTGTTGCTTCAGACTAGGATTTCTTGCGTAAGCCATTGCCAAGTTCCCGAACACTGAACCAATCCCAGCACCTGATCCAGCAGCTCCAACCGTAGCTGCGCCAGCTCCAATATACTTTGCTGCCTGATCGATATCTTTTCGTAAAGCAGATACGTGGAACTGACTGCACGGAACCATAAATGAGACGACGGCTGGTGAGGGACTGAAAGACATGGACCTCAGAACATTGAGGACTGTTGGTCTGAGGACAGCATTGAATCGGGCAATCGGCATCTGAAACCAAGAAAAATAAGAGTTACGAACGTCTAAGCAAGTCCACAAAACTCGGCAACGAATGCATTTAATGACCGACTTACCATTCTAAAGCAACTTATGCAAACTTGGCGACAAGATGAAGGACCGCGGCAAAAAGTACTGAATCCAATGGATTCAAACAAGCGAAAATGCAGTAGAATGTTCAGTTAATTTCAAACGTATACTTAACTTCTTCGCAGCTCACTGCATGTCCTCATGTTCTTTCAGGCTATAATGGGCTTTATTTGTAAGAAATAAACCTGGATAAAATAAATTTGACCCTGGATACGGAGTAAAATTAAATCAGCTCTTGGTGAAGCTTTGTTTTTAGGAAGCGTTCACCATATATAAAGCTTTAATTGGTGCTACGAGTTCATTTTTACCAGTTTAAGCATTTTTTTCCACTTTTTGCAAGTAGAAGGGCTACACCTTCTTTCGGAACTTGGGGAAAGGTTGTCTCGGGCCACTTGAAATGAGTAATGTTATTCCGGAAGTGTTTATTTTACTTCTCGTGAGTTCTTTTCAGGAGACCTGCTTTGGCTTTTTATTTTGTTTAGTTACTCTAATCAGTCACCATTTTCAAGACTAGAAGTAAGTATTTTGGACCTCTGCTTTACAGTGTGTGACGGAGTGCAATGCAGTGGCTGCATCACTGATTTTACGGAATTTCTCACTGATGAAACAACAGTGACCCAAATGTGATTTTGTAAGTCGTCACTCCCATTAATGTGTAATTTTTACGGTAAACCTGTAAGGGTTTTCATTCAGCAGGCAATCTGGCATCTTATAACCAGGAAGTTTACAAAAGAATCAAATGAGGAAAACAACCTGTTGGCTAAAATCTTTACCGCTGATGTGGTTTCTGTCCATAGCCATGAAAGTGACCTGAAATTAATAGCCACAAATGTGACCGAATGCTACACAAAATTGGAGGAAACGTTGAGGACTTGATAAGGCTCTGATACCATAGAACCAGCTATTAGATTATCTTGCGGACTTTGCAGTTAATTCTGTCTAGAGACCTTTTCACTCCACCTACAGGGTCATTTTTTGTACTGTGGCAGAATCATACTTTGTGGATCTGGCCGTGCGCTATGCACACCATCTGGTAGCAGTAGGTGTAATATTTCCTGACCTAATTCCCCACATTTCAGGCAAAGTTCGTAGATGGAAGTTTATCAAAACCGGAGGAGGTGATATTGATACAACCGAAAGTTCTCGACCGCTACTAGAAGTAATACCAAGGAATGATAAAGAAGAGAATGTCATTTCTAACAAGGAACTACAGATGGTGGTCAGAAATTTAAAAATCAGGCTTCACTAGCTATTGGTCGGTAAGACCAACAGGAGAGGAGTCTCAGCGGTGGCACAGTGGTTAGGACGCTCGCTGACCATGCACATGGTCCGGGGTTCGATCCCCTGCCGACGCACATCCGATATCAATGAACGGCCTGTTAAATTTGGGCTACCGATATCACATGCTGAAAATTCCATACATGTATCAAAAATACTGTGTGGAATCAAGCTGTAATCAAAAAACTCACTGGATCGGATGGATTAAAGTGAGCATCCTGAAGATATCGGGTTTCCGGTTGTTGATGTCCCGGAAATCTACTTAACCAAGATCTCTGCTCAGAAGCCGAATGAAAATCTCTGCCCAAATATTTACCCACGTGATTAGCCGACAGCCTAGAATTAAGGGGCTTAAACTGGTGGATAGCCCAAACGAATGGCACAGTTAAAGAAGTATGAGTGAAGTTGAGGGATAAATTAAAATGCATCACATGATTTTCTATACCTTGGTCTGCTCCTCAGGATCCCTCGCATAAGCCTGCCTGGATAAATGGTAGAATAAGGGGGCTGCGAAGAAAGCGAAAACACGAGGTATCAGTTAACAAAAACACACGGGAGAGGCTTCAAATTAATAATAGCAAAATGTGGAACCCTTTCGTCTGTATGGTCAATAAAAGTTTTATAAAGCATGGGAGACAGTTAATGCTTGACCACCCATATTTTCCTTGAAGACTGTACTGAAATATAAAATGTTGGATTTAAATGAGCTGGGCATGGAATGCAGTGGGGGCAGATGAAATGAAGGCCGAGAAACGTCCCGAACACTATCATGCTACTATATGATCAAAGAGTAACACTCGAAGATTTAGTGAGGTTGCATGCAATGCCACAGTAGTATCCCGATCATGATGAACAATCCAGTGGTGCTTAGAGTGCCAATTCACCTGGGGACCAATAAGTCATCAGGGTCTGATGGGATTCAACCTAGGCTGCCACTCTATCTAACCAACATAATGCACTTACAGCTATGGAGATTTTCCTCGTTTGTGTCTCAGACTAGGCGACATACGTGCCGAAAGGACAGGTCCATAAGCTTCATCTTTAAACAGAGGAGCGAGCAATTACCGTTCAGTATGTCTCACAGTCTAGTTTAATAACGAACCCTAAGCCCTGAAAAGAGTGAGAGGTTAGGTGTGGGCCTAGCGGTCGCACCTCAGGACAAAAAAGGAAATTACTCCCCGCTGGAATTGTAGGAAAGGAATGGCGTGGTATCGTGGATACCTTCTAGAAAGCAGTCAACCAAAGTGTCTTCAACTGGTGAGGTCCAACGTATACACTGAGACACAAAATATTCTCACGATTTTCGATGCATGCTCGGAGGGCCGATCAAAATGCAAAAAATATTAGAAAATAAGGTTCGCATCTTCCCGGAACCCGTGAGAAGAAGCGGAATGGAGTAAGATTTGTAAGATTTCCGCAGCAGAGCATGCTGTGGCTACTCAGATGTGGTAAGTGATTAAGGAAGCCAGAAGGATGGGATGAGTAAATGAGTAGGAACTATGTCTCCTTTATTATGTGTGAGGCTTTCTTTATCTTTTGAATGACAAGTACCCTTCCGTTTGTTTAACTAGGTATTCCCCGCTTCGCTTGCCCTCTGCCGTGCTTTCAGAAATAAAGGCTCATAAACACCATTGTCTTCTACAATATTATGAGCTGTATATGGGCAATCTGAGCAGTTATTTTCGTAGAAAAATAGCTTTCTAAAGACTCCACATTTTTAAGCGGAGAATCTGTAGTTTACTTCTGTTACCTGGATAACGACCACGAGCACACCGAGGAAGTGGCTATGGTGATGCTACCAATATCATGTGGAGATAATATGCAGCAAGAACCCATTTCATCCATAATAGTTGGAGTAAGGTTCAGCTTAAAAGACAGTCGAAATCGATGAAAGATAGTGAAGGTAACTTAATTATCATGTGAGGAGAAACAAAAGAAACAGCTGATGACTTCGAAGGGCGCCTGAACTGATCCCACCCTTAACTCACCCCAAAGTACCACGAACAACCACATTACTGTCAGTAAGCACTAATCCTCAGACAAAAGCATAAGTAATCAGTGCCGTGAATTTGCTGAAGAACTGGGAGATATTCGGGCCCGACTGAATTTCTCTATGTATTATTGATATTAGTATAAAACTTGGGCACTTTGGTTGAGTATAACTCCATTATAGATAAGATTTTATTTTGATAAATCACACGATGTTATACAGATCCAGAGACTTCGGCGAATATCCTCACGTAACTATTGTGGAAAGTTTAGAGGGAAAGAAAGGTAGCTACTGATGGAATTTAAAGGCACCTTTTCAGGTTACCAGGGCTGACTTAAGCTTTTGCATAACTGGCATAGAATCATCCCCATATCTACATCAAGCGAAATATCACATCTTGTTATCCTGAAGAGACTGAAAGTTGCCCTAAACTCGGGACTTTATCCAGGACAATCTGGATTCAGGAAAGGCAAACCATAGGCAGGGCAAATTTAGACTCTAAACATCATTATAGAAAAGAGCAAATGTCGGCAGCAAAACCTGTACATCAACACCATCGGCTTTGAAATTGCACTTGAAAAAGTTAATTACGAAGTGATTTTGGAACTGCTTCAGCATTCCGGATCTCACGGAACCTTTCTTAACTTCATATAATGTGACTATGTAACATACTGTGTGATCCGCGACGGAAAACTGAGCGAAGAGTTTGAAGTGGACACAGGATTAAGACAAGACTTTCTGTCATCACTAGTGATTTCCCTCATTGTAATCGAAAGATGTAGATGGAAAAACCTGACTGCCAACAACAAGAATCAGTCACTATCAATGAGAGATATTTACAGGAAGTCACTTCTCTCACTCGTCTAGGCAACATCGTTTCTACTAGAGACTGCAAAAATGAAGGCTTCTAATGAAGAATTGAAAAGACAGGGAGGGCCTTTACTAATCTAAAACCAATCTCTAAATCTATTGCATTTAGCACAAAGAACAAGATTCAGATTTTCAGCACTAATCTCAAATCTACCCTTCTGTGCTATTCACAGGCTTGGTGTGAGCATCACCGATAGCTTTCTGGCAGGTCGCTACAAACTTTAACCTTCACTATATACTGAAGGGATTGGCAACAAGCAATTCCGTAGTGTGACGAACCAACCAAGGACCTGTCATCCGTCGAATGTACCTTCAGAAACAGAGATGGATCGGACACACGCTGAGATGACCTGAATGGGAAACACGGAGTTGAGCATCTAAGAGTGAAACTGAAGCGGCCGTGTGAAGAGGGTATGACAGTTTATTGGCAGTCGTGGAGCCAGCTAAGGAGGACTGCAGGGAGTAGGATGAGATGTAGGTGTGCTGTTGAAGTCTCATGCTCCATTCAGAACCTTAGGGACCAATAATAAACATCTCATTATTATGTACTATTCTGAACTTCCTAAATCTTCCCGGTCCTAAGTTTACTTAGTCCAACATGTAGACTTATGCATACATTCTGAAGAACAGTCACATTATCTGACTTCGTTGTTTCACGCTATGTTGCGAGTAACTTCAATGTTACAAGTTACCTAGTGCAGCTAGGGGTTAGGTTGGGTAGAAACAGGATTATGGTCTATGAAAATGCCAAATTGGCACCCATGCTTCTACCCCTCCGTAAGGTGTTTGTGCTAGAACGAACTATATCTATACTATTTTCTGGCTATGTAAGGGGTGCTAATGTTACCTGCAGGGACGATCCCTGGATGAATACCTCAATATGGCAATCCGCTGCTTCCATTACTTCATCTTTACTCCCCACAGCTGACTGAAATGGGCTTACTTCGAAAATCAGGTTTATGATCTCGTGTTGACCTCGTCATCATTCCTACTAACAGTTTCCAGGGGCGCTTCAAATGTTGGTAAT